TAGATTTGAACTTCCCAACAAACAAAACACAGGTTTTCAACGAGATTAGCATTATGGAGAACTGGTTGATAATTCACATGATTAATTCACGTACCCTCCTTGTGTTATACTCGTGGTAAATCTACTTTTCACAATCTTGAAGATTCCTCATGTGTACAGCACGGGTAAAAAACGCGAAAATATTCTTTGAAAATTCTCGTCGTTATTTCACATGTTGTACACGTAGCAAAATAAACCAGTGCAAAATCTTGCATATTCCTATCGTGTTAAGCTCGAGTAATGCAATGCCAGAATTTTTAGATTTTAATTCTCGTAATTATCACGTGTACTATATTTGAGATAATTCTATAGTTCAATTCTCGAAGTTTTTTCACATGTTCTGCTCGTAGAAAAGATACCAGTGCAAGCTCTCGCATATTCCAAACGTGTTAATCATGAGTAATGGAATGCCAGAATTATCTAGATTTTAATTCTTGTAAATATCACGCGTAAAATATTTGAGATATCACGGGAAGAATTTCATCTTTCATTTTTAACAGAGTTGCAAAATCACAACACTTGGTGTCTCTGCTCATCTTTTAGAAACTAAAAGTTTATTGTAGTAAAATGAAATATTTCAACTGACATAAATTTTTCAGATTATAACAAGCATGAGCATAGTATAGAAAAGTTTCACATTGAATTTTGTATTGTATTTCTCAACAACCCCTTTTTGGAATATCGATATTTTAGATATATACAGGAAGGAGAATTCATATAATTATGAATACATTAACATAGTTGAACAATATTTAGACTTGAAATATCACTTTGTGATAAGAAAAGTTTAAAGTTTACATGTTCAAGATGTTTAATGTAAAAGATATAAACTAAAATGTTTAGTTTCTAAACATTTTGTAATAGTTATATACTTTTACACAGTATATTTTATAATATATTTCTATATCAGAAATCAATTATGTATCCCCCCCCTTTCCCGGGGTTTTTAAAAATGTAGTTAAAGTAGATGAGAGAAAAATAATTTTCCCATGTAAAAATCCCGTGTTCATCTCGTGAAATAAACTCAAGTTTTCGCCGTGTAAAAACTTGGTCCTAGACCCGTGTTCAAATCGTCGACAATCACCTCGACAACACGTGAATTATCACGGGATAATGACGGGTCACTCGTGTGAAATAAACCAAATAATCTTGTGTTCTTCACGGGTTTTTGTTTGTTGGGTTGTGAGTAGGCGAATACAAAAATCTAAACATATAAAAAGGTTTTTTGAAAATATCTTTTAAATGGAGATAGATATTACTTTGAGTGGGATGAGATAATTATTAGTAAACAGGCAGCCCAACCTTTTAGTATTTTAACTTCAATCATGAAATGCAGTCATTAAATGAGTGAATTGGATCTAAGATTCTGCTAAAATGAACTTAACCTTGTTTCTCAGTTTCTGTTGACCAAACAAATTGAAAATTTATTTTAAGTCAATACAGATGCGATGAAACCCCAATAGATGTAGAAAATTGTGTTTAAAATGCATCAACTTAAAATCTCAGAACATAAAATTTAACGGTGATTACCAATTGAGGAGCATGCTTGCTTCAAAACACATTTAGGTGGCTCATTGAGGAATTATTGCCTCCCCCTCTTGCTCATCACTTGTTATAAGTTGAAGATTAGGTACTTTTCAAACTAGTGAACAGTTTAAAGATTTTAAACTCTAGTTCAAAGTTTTAAAGTTTCCTACTGCTCAAACAAGTGAACAGTTCAAAGATTCTCTGTAGTTTAAAGTTTAAAGTTTTGTATTGCTAAAACTAGTGAACAGTTCAGAGATTCTCAACACTAGTTATAAGTCAAAGATTCCTTGCTGCACAAACTGGTGGACAGTTAACTGATTATCAACATAAATTAAAAGTTAAAAGTCTCTACACATCAGTTAGAACTAAGATTTGAATTTCAAACTTGTACTGAAGTTACTTGTTACCCAGCTTTACTACAAAACAGGCTAAATGGGTCTCAGCCCCTCCACCAGGCAGCAATTCTTCTTGATGGTGGAAACAAGTTCTTTAAACTGGTTTGAAACTGTCATGCAATCAATATCTACAGAAACTCTAGTTCTAACACATTTCTGCTTTAGTTTCTCCAGACATGCCTGTTCAAAACAGGATATTTAAAAATAGTTACAGCAAATTTTTTATTGGATCCATTTTGCCTTGTACTCTTTTAAGTGTTCAGAACCTTGCCTTGTTTGTTGCTGTGGCTGATAATTTCTGTTCTAACAACATTAAGAATTCTTTAGAGGAGATCATCCGAGGAGAGGTTCTGAACACTTAAAAGAATTCTCAATGTTGTTAGAACAGAAATTATCAGCCACAGCAACAATCCCTGGAATTCCCACCCTAATTAATGGGTTCTCTAGGTACGTAAAAAAGGAGACAACTCTGGCAGAAACAGAAACTTCAACTACCCCAAGCTCCTCATCTAATTGGGATTTTACAGAAGAGAGGTTCCTTCATTTAGTATACAGACCACTTCACCTTGTTTGAAGCCTGGATTTCTTCTCTAGTAGGCAATGAAGAGTAGGGCTAAGTGAGAGATTAATCTTAAGGTTCAACTGCTTAGGATTGTTCAGATAGAGATGATGGAGCGAAACTTTAACATCTGATAACTTCTCATAATCCAGAGTTCCTTCTCAAGGAGTCTAAGGATTCTGGGTTGTTGAAATAAGTGTAGGTTTTCCAGCAGAGGTTTGATCTCTTTGGAAGAATGTAAAGGTTGCCCTGTTATGCCAGCACTGTCTACAGGACAGAAATGAACCTGACTAGAGTTGTGGTGAAATCTTAGCCCAACCTCCTCATAAACCTGCTCAGTACTAGTGTTGAGGTTGACCTCTATCCAACATTCTTCCTTCTCCAGGATCAAGAGAATTTTCCCTATTAAGAAGAAACAGGTGAGGTGCTCCTTCAGATTTCAGGGGTCCATCCTAGTATATTATTTTTTGGACCCCCCCCCCCTCCCCCCTCCTGTCACTGTAACTGGGAGCACATCAGTGCCATTTAATATAATTGCTACAGAATTAACCACAAGGCCAGAAAGCTGTAACAGTAACATCTCTTCTGTCTACAATTCTGTGTGATCAAATAAATCTCTACAATTCTATGAAGTTGGACTACAGACCCCCTGCAGTTGGGCTCCATAAGACTGTGTGGATGACAGACCACAATCTGCACCCTGTAGGTGGGAGCTCAAAAAGTGCCATTTGGTTTAGAAGTTACTTTTTCACAGCATAAACTCATCTTAAAGTTTGCAGTAACAATAATGCTAATCTTAAACCCTTGATCAAAGAACCTCACTGGTAACCTGTACTCTCCTAGGACTATCTAGGGAACCTCTTGGGAACTTGGACTCTCCTGAGACGGCGATTTAAAAACTTCGGCTCGAGTCGTAATTCCTTAGACCCGACTTTAAGACCCAATCTTAGACCCAACTCTGACGACAGCTTGTGTCACGTGATTGACAGCTGCGAGATCTTAGGCTCGACTTAAGGAGTTAGACCCGATGAAAATAAAACCGACCTTGATTGGTTTTAGTGGAAAATAAGGCTCGATGTTGGGTCTTAATTTAATCAAATCTCTAAATCCGCAATATGTAAAGTTCGTAGTTTCCAGCATTTAGTGCTTAAACATGGTTCATTTTAAAGAAAATGTTCCATTTTCTGAAATTTACAAATTTACTGTTTAACTTGCCGCGTCTGATATCAGACGCCATTGTTTCACGTTTTTGTTCTATGGTTTAGACTCTTTAGACTTTAGTAGCCAGTGAATTTAAATCTAATATTGTGTGATTTGTATCGTAAAAAAAGGTTTATTTCCTAATATATGATTTTTGGAACCCCCTCCCCCCACCCAGCCGGCCCGTTCAATTTTGTACATGGATCTTATGTCAGACATGGATATAATTGACTATGTGGCTGCAGCACCCGGCCCACTAGCATGTCCTAGCCGCAGTGCTCAGCCCCTAGCCTGTCCTTGCCGCAGCGCTCAGTCCCCTAGCCTGTCATAGCCGCAGTGCTCGGCCCAGAAAGTGTCTCAACCTTACCTAACCCTATATATATACTAATTTTGTTGAAAATTTGTTTATTTCCTAGAGAGCAAATTTTTTTGGGGGGGCCCCCTCCTATAAAATTTGTACATAACCATTTTTTTTCATTTTTCAGCAAATTAGTAGTGGTCATGTGGCCGCAGTGCTCGGATCCCTAGCCTGTGCTAGCCTCAGCACTCTGCCCCTAGCCGCACCGCTCGGCCCACCTACCCTAATCCTAAATATACGCTAATTGTATTAAAACTTGTTTAATTTAAGAGGTCCTGTCTGGCCGCAGCACTCGGCCCGTCTAGCCACAGTGCTCGGCCCAGAAATGAG